AGTGAAGCAAAATAAAAATCCATTTTAAACTAAATGGAGCATAAGACAACTCTAATCTTTTGAATGCTTTATTTAAAACAATCTTTTTAAAATATAAATGAGACTTTATTTGTTGACTTGATACTCACATTTCATAGAACTAAGGCGTTTTCTGCTGCATTGGGTTGCCCCGATAAAGCTTGTATGACCCTTGCTGACTCAGACATAGATTGGGCTGCAATCATTTTCAAGACACTTTCTAAAATCCCGCAAAAGAAAGATATTTCTTCCCTTTTATCTAATAGCTGCTGAAAGTTTGTTTATTACTAATTTAAATCAAATGATTTAAATACATTTACACAGCGTAGGAATGAAGCATAAGTAATTATTTTTTATTTGTTACCGTTTTGAGTATAGTACTTTTTCGTTGCCGAGATTTGGCTTAAACTTGTTTTATCAACTAGGTCGTGGTGCCATAGCGACCCAGGATACTATACCAAGTCCATCAACTACTGCCATTGTAAACATTACAATTTCCAGCATCACTTCTCTGAATTAATACACATACAAAAGTACATCGGCAAGTTAGTCGGCATCTTCCTGACCAATTATCCGTTTGTCGAATTTAGCATACCTCCTTCCTCCGGTCTCAGTTCGAAGAGTTTTATATTCATCTCTTATTATTATTTCATATGGCCAATTCTCCCATTTACACAACTCTGTATTCTACCTTGTTTTCATTTATCCCTGGTGTCATCCCTTTACGTGAGTCTAATGCAATCATATTCACCACTGGTTTCACATCCTGCCTGAAGGGTTTCAGTAGCTCAAGTCACACTTGTATTTAGCACTCCACTTCGTTCACCTTACCTTAGCTTGTAACGTGAAACGTGGGATAGATTAGAATGAAATAGAGTGCTGAGATGTGTAGATAGGGAAAGTGGGAAAGGTCTACCAACTCACAGTTATCATGGGATTTTCGATTTATCAAACATGTGTTTTCCATTGTAATCGATGATATAACATTTATTATTTTTCATATTCTCATTATCGTTAAAAAAGTTGCCAAAATTAAAAGAAATTTCATACAATCTTATAATTGTTTAGTTACCATCTGTTTTAAAAAAGATTTTTATTTCATAAATTGAAATTGTCTGCGGAAGAATCTGTCTAGACGAAATGTTTTGGCTTATAAGCAGATCTTCAAGACCACCAGTAGATCATATATATATATATATATATATATATATATATATATATATATATATATGAGATATATTAACCCTATTTCTTATAGTTTAATTTTCCCACAATATTATGAGTAAACCTTAGGTTTCCTTTAAATTTAACTTAGTCTTGCTTTCAAAGAGGTATTATTACCTCCGCTGGAATAGATAATGGCCTCGACAGTGTCTGAATTTGTCTCCTTTCTAGTCCCAGTGGGACTCGAACCAAGCTATAGCAGCACTAATAAGGTTAACCATTACGCCAAATTTCTACGAGAGCGCTTGGATTACAGGAAGGATACGACTTTCAGGGAAGACCAGGTATTTTCCTGTATCACATTCTCTGTTGTAATTGTTGATGAAGCAATACCGTCTCTGCTATAACTGCCAGTCTCCCTCTAACGTTACACGAAATAGAGTGAATATATCTCATATATATTATCTACTATTATAAAACAGAAAATTCATAATTTAGTCGATTGATATAGCAACTACACTTTAGATTCATCGACAAGCCCACCAGAGAATGAGATGTGAGAAAAGGCCTTGTCTTCCTTTTAATCCACGTCTGTTCATTTACCCAAGGACACTCGTGGTTAACAAGTTAAGAATATAAGCTGTACTGTTATGGCTTGAGTACCGTTGAGGGTTCTGATAGGATATATGTTGAGGTTCAAACTGCAGTCTATCATAGAGGAGAAGACATTTTCGGAATGCAAGGATATATGGAATTTAATGCAAAAGTAAGATATTCTCCTAACATTGTGAGAAAATTTAACCATCATTTCATTTATCTTTTTAAATAGAATAGAGTGAATAGATCTCATAAAATCTTTTGGCTTCCCTATAAATCAAGCGAATTGCAATATTCAGCTATAATCTTCCAACCTTATGGACCTTAAAGCCTTAATATTTTTGATGCTGTATGTCATATAGGCATAATTCGTCAATTGCTTAAGTCTGTTGCTTTATTGTAAATCCCAAGTTTTATTTTTGCAAATTGATTTAAGATTTATAATTTATGGGCAAATTATGTGATTAGAACATGCAGAATACTTGGTATCTTTGACAAAGTTATTATATTTGCAAAAAAATCTGTTTTTACTCATTTATGCGATTAATTTTCGGTTTGCTACGACAAAAATAAGGCTAAATTTGAATGGCTGATTGACAAAATACTTGCTTTTTCCATTGAATAAATTATTAAGTCAGACAAAATGATAGTAGGTTATTCGAAGAAAAGATGGGTTTCTAGGAATCTCTTGCTTCATAATTTTTGAGGTCACTTCCATTTCAAATAAAGGTGTTTTGTGATGAGATTCTAAGGTAGATTTCTCTTGACCAGCAGTCGATTGGCTTTACTGAAACATCCTTGCTAACGCTGATTCCGAGGCAATCCCTCAAGATTTCAGTTATAATGTGCTATGCTTCCTTTGTCGTATGACAAACCTCATCAGAACGGATGGTATCATTCTTACAACCATCTTTAAGCTAATGAATAAAAAAACTCTTGAATTGTTCGTTATATGAGTTAGCTTGTGCTAATATTTTGTCTGCCACATAATAGATATCATCACAAATTTATTCACTTGTTTGCTTGAATATGGTTTTAAGGATGATACCATCTGCTTTGATGATGTCCGGCATAAGACAGACGAAGGGTTAGCATATTTTTAGAAATCTCGTCAACAAGGACGTTGAAGTAAATTCAATCGAAAATTGATCAAGAGAAATCCGCCGTTGTCTTCTAGTCGTGGCTATTCATCAAACAATTTCACTCGAAATGGATGTATGCCCAACTAACTGATGCTATATACAACTTTCATGCTGGCCAATAAAAGTGGGCAACTTTCAATTCCATACTTTTTAATTTTCGAAAAGTTATCGTAGTAAGAAATTTTCCACTTAAATTTCAGGATCTGTACCACTAAATTCCCTAGAAGACCTTCACTATTTCCTAAGTTTAGAAATAATCTGATTAAAATCAGAATAACAAAGAATAGCCCGAAAGCTTTGTCTTTGTAAAGAAATTGTTTAGGTATCGCTATGATCTGTACGACCCGTTTTTAAATCACGCTTTGTGTGCTGGCGAGGCCGAAGCGAGGTCAAAGCTACAGTTACGACTGAAGGAGAAATCTTTCTAGGAGATGAAATTATGTGAAATCAAATTGCATACTCAGACTCGATTTTTTAATTGTGGGAAATATTAACTCTCAGTACTTACAAGAACTTGATTAAGTTCTTATTCTTATACTTTACAATCGCTACACTGAGCAATGATATTAAGAATTAGGGCCTGCTGTTTATTTAACTCCTTATTTTCACGCATTTTGTTCAACTCAGAATGCATCCGTCAGCATAAACATGCTCCCAATTCAATCGAAATAGTCAACCGCAGAACCATTTATTTGCATAAATTCGGCTTCTACAGGAAAAGACAACTGCAAACAAACTTCGGCATCAATACGGCCACGGAATTTCCAAATTAACATGACACTCTTATCGCATGTCACTAGGCCAAGATAATACCGGATCATGTCAAAAGCATCACTAAGGCCGAGTCAAGATTGTCGCTTACTTAAGTCGACGAGTATATGTGCTCGGGTCGGCCCAGCAACGTGGAGTTAGGCTCGCTAGCAGCCTTTGGAGGTCATCGATCCAACCTGTAGTAGATATGGTCGGCGTATAGGCTCCGGATGTCGACCGTTGAGGCGGACCTTGATGCTCGTGACAAAGAAGGATCGCGCGTTTCTTGCTGATGTCGGTTAGCACTTCGGTGATGAGATCGAATGATCTGAAGCCAAGAGTTCGTGAAAGACTAGACGTGAGAATAAGGAAATTACTTACGCTGAAAAGGCCCCATATCTTTTTTTTGTGGTACCACCAGTTCATCACTCTTTATTGCCATGGATGTAAAGTAAAATTATAGAAGTTATGAAAGATTATTTTTTGAGCAAATCGCACTTTATGCTTAAACTCGCCTTAGGCTGAAGATGATAGTATCATCGCTAAATTTGAGGTATAAACGGATTTTCAAGAAAAGAAGAATCTTTGTTCTCAACTGCTGGATCTATTTCTTTCGTTGCGAGGCTTCAAACAAATATATTGGATTCCTTAATATGTTGATCCCATACATTGGAAATATAGAAAGCCACAAATGGCGTAATTTCCATTTAAAAATTTCCTTTTAAAATAACCCAATTTTGCCTTATTCCAAGTTGATTCGTGGATCTTCTTCTGGGACTGACTGAAGTAGGGAAGATTTTGCCTAAATTTATAACAAATAATGGACAAAGCACACTTTTTTCCTGCAAATGAATCATTATTTATTTATGAGAGCGAATCATATGTTTCGTAGTAATCTTAAATCGTCACACTATGCTGGGCGCTTAGCATTCAATACAGCGGCATTCTACTTTGTTCAGATTGGAAAATATACTACTTTTATATAGGTGCAATATAATTTACATCATCATTACCGGAAGGAAAGTATTTGCCCCTTATTATATGCCATGATATGCAACGTCGACTTAGGCTGCCGATGGTACTGCTATTATTAAATTTCGCTATAAGCAAATATACAGAAATAAACGTATATAAATGTTGTTAGAACTAAAAACGCTAAATTGCTGGACTTTAAGCAAAGTTGTTGGTTTCATTGAAATATCAGCTTGATCACTTTTGCCTTATTTCAAGTTTTCTTGTGATTTTGACTCTGAGGGTGTCTGGAGTTTAGGAGATTTGGCTCAAATCCCTTTTATTGCAAACGAAATTTTAGCCATAACATACAATTTTTTCGATTAAAACAATTTTGGTATCGGTATTGAAGTAATATGCTACTCCTTTTTATTCAAATTAACTTTCATTTCATCTTAAATTTTTTAGACTATTTGCTACAATATTTTGTTTATTTAACAACCATATAAATGCCTTTTGTTGTCCATTAGGTTACGTTGCTTTAATTAGGACCAAAGTTCGCTGCTAACAATTTATAAATATAGTAAAATAGGGCCAAAAGTAAGTTTTATTGACATAATTAAAGAACAATAAACATCCAAAAAGAGTATAAGCCAGACCTACCTAACAAAACAATGGCTCATTCGACGACGTTGGTATTCGTGTAAACTGACTTTCACATTGCCTGTTTGTCGTATCTTAGTCTCATACATGGGCTCAACGAAGTAGCTGGGAACCTCAAGCAAAACATGCATTAGCCTTGGAAGGCCATTCAGACTGACGTGCTGCTGCAGCTGCAGAGGTGATAGGACAACCGGACGATGTCGAGCAGACCTCCAACCGCTAGCCAACAGCAAATGGGCACTGGGAAGCCGAATTCTGGTGGCTAATCTGCCTCGAGTTGCCTTTTTAGAAGGACCGTCTGAAGCTACACGTGTACTATATCCAGGCAAATGTGCATCACGGCAACTATAGAGTTTATTTTTCTCGCTAAAATTGTACATTTTATATATGAACTATGACAGACCAAAAACATTCATAAATAAATGGATAGATTATTAATTTTAGACTACTTACAAAGTAGAGTAGTAAGGTAATAAATATATGGTTAGGTATTTTTTAAAATTAGGTGTGAGAAGTATTTACGATTGATAGTTAATTTTTATCTTCAAAGCTTATGCAAATTCACTAGATAACTACGCTCGTTTGGCTCTGTTCTTAGGTCTGGCAATTATTTTTCTAATTCACAAAAGATATCAAACAATTTTCTTAGTCGAATATTCATATAATCATCTGAAGTGCATGGGCTGATAATCACCATGCTTTTTAATAAACAAAAGAGGAAATTAAACACATTCTTTTTTCTATAAGATTGCAGGTTGGAGAAGAAATAAAGGAACTAAAGTCTTAGCCTTTATTTTGTCGGAAAGACGATCCATACCCGAGAAAAAATTAATTCTGCGTCAATTAGAAATTTTAATATTTCCTGATTTATTCATCACACATGATATTTAATTAGGGACAGGTTTTTATTATTTGATGAAACAATAAAAATTCTAGACACTTTTGAAGATTAAATCACGCCCTAAAATATCCCAAACAGCTTTTAAAATCTGAGGGATTATATAATCTTTCCGACCCTCGTAGAATAAACTACTCGAAAGATATCAAATACATATGATGCCTGGCATTGTTAAAAATCCTTGATAAATACCAAGCATTAAGATGTGTTTCTTCGTCAATCTAATAGAATGATAGTGTTTTTCCTCTTAGATTTATCTCTCAGTATTGCTGCATGTGAAAATTGTGATTTGTTCGAATTCAATTTAATGTGTCGTCTTTATGTGGGGAATAGTTAGTAATGAGTTTGCCTGGCCAAATTAAAAATAAAATATGGCGAATTTTACAGGTGTCTCTATTAAGTCATAATAATTGGTTTGGCATTTGCTGACATAACCCAATGATGCTAAAACAAAAAGGTGGACAATCTAAAATCTAATCACACAGATTCTTAAATTTTCAGGCTATAGGCTTAAATCTACCTTAAAACACTAATTGTAAATTATAATTTTGCATCTCAAAATTATCGAATATTCTCTTTTAATAAGGCTTTTCATGTAATTCAACATATCTAAACAAATAGAAGAAAAAATGATCATTTTTAATTATGAATTTTAACCATTTGCAAGCAAAGTTCAAGAGAGTAAAAATCTAGAAATAAAAGCATTTATTGCATCAAATTTTTTTATTTAAATGTGAGTAAAGAGTCTTTGCTCCTACTTTTCACATAAGATGCTATATAATGGGAACTGCAGCAAATATATCTCAGATAGTGGAAGCCTAAAAGAGATCTCAGTCCAGACAAAATGGGGCTACTTGACGGCTTTTGATGTGGGTTTGCAAAAATTGCAAGTAAATTTTAGTTTGGAATGTTTAATTGAAAACATTTAAAAATAATATATTTAAAGAACATATCAACATTAGAATGATTATTACATATTTTTAATTATTAATATATATAGTATTAATATTCTTATTCTAACAAGGCGAATCCCAGGAAAATTATAATCACCTTATTAATTCGTCTGAGTCCAAAATGCATCCATACGTAGAATTTAATTTTGCCTCAATAATTTTTGAGCAAAAATCAAAGTTCTAATATTCGTAGCCCTACTCACACGCAAACACTTTTTGTGCATTCTCACTAAATTGGGTCCTGTCATCTTCTTTTGATATTGATGTCTGCAAATATTAGCTGTACTACGGTCTTCGTACATCAAGCTCAAGTACTTACACCTAACATTAGTATCCTATTTTATATCCAAATTAAGGACACATTATATTCTTAGTCACGACTATATGCCCAATATTCCTATCCCATTTTCAATTTCTTGTTCTACACCATTCGGATGGTTACCCAATAGTTTAGCTAATCTGCAATAAATGATCATCTTAGGACAAATAGGCATTATGCTAAATAATGCATTACACTCGCCTTTTATGAATTTAAGAAAGCTCATACAAAGCTAGCCTTTCTTGATATTTATTCTATCAATTGTATGTAAAATTAAAAAAATGATTACCTCTTTGCTCTTACAGCTAGTAAAAGGATTTCGAAGGAGCAATTTGTACTAGATTTGCTTTATATGTAAAGATACCGTCAGATAGCTGAGGGTGAAACCAAGTTTATTCCCTAACAGAATCTGATCCTGCTAAACACACCTACAAATTCTTTTATGCAATCATATAGCAAAATATCGCTATAAGAATAAATCGTGTATATTTACTTTGATAACATGCACTCTGCAAAGCCCAAAGAACAAATATAGGATTATCAAATAAATTAAGCATAATTTTTTTTTATTTATTTAATGACATGGGACTGTCCTCTATATCCATTAAAATAGAATTTAATTATGGCTTTAATCGTATACTTATTGACAATATTGACCTGAGTTTAATTTGCAGAGTAGTGCATTTACTCTATAAAAACTTAAATTGATCATTTAATCGAATTTGTTACTCAATTAAGAATTATTTTTTAGAAACTATATAGTAAACAATGTATATACTATTAAAATAAATTTAATCACAAAATAAGCACTTTTCTTAAGATTATGACATTAAAAAGCTTAAATTTGTTGGGTTATATCAATGCATTTCGATAAGAATAATAT